TAATGATTGGGAGTTTCTGAGTATACGAACCTATTGAAGACGGTTTCATTGTTCAGAAGGGACCAGTCCATAGGAGATAGGCTGTGTTGGAAATTAAACCCTTATGGTGTTTTCTCGGTGAAATCATATTATGCTTATATTTATATGGATGAGCTGGTGGATGTATATGTTTTTGCTAGGTTTATTTGGAAAGTAAAAACAACTTCAAGAATATTGCATTTATTTAAAAAAAAAAACTTTAAAAATATTGTATTCTTCACATATTTAAAAAAAAAGAATTGCATTCTTCGCGCGGGAGGCTATCCAAGTTTGTATTCTAACACTGGACAGTCTTATTAAAATGGGAAAGATGCTTGTGAATGGATGTTACCTTCGCAAGAGAAGAGTTGAGTTTGGTGATCATATTCTTTTATGGTCTTCTGGGATTGGATTTGGTCATTGTTGAATCTGTGAAGGAAGAGTTATGTACATGGAGTGGTATTTACGGGGATGAAAGAGTGAGACTCATCACACTGGCTACTTTTGTGGGTGATTTAGAAAGAAATAAATAGAAGGCTTTCAAGGGCGTTGAATCCAATTTTGACAAGTTTAAGGATAATTGGTTCCATACTCTGAGTTTTTTGTTGAGAGGGGTTATCTGCTGTATTTTAGTGAGGATTTTGGAGACCTCATGGATATTTTGATTAACTTGTAAATATTTTATATGGTTGGATCCCTTGCTGCGAGTGAATATATATACTTTTTATCTAAAGAAAAAGGAGTCTGAGGGGATCCCGCAACTTCTACTCTCCAGAAAACTGAAAATAATTTAGGGATATTTCAATTTGTTTTCAGTTTCTTTTATATTAAGTGCTTGGTTGAGCTTTTTCCTTCCACTTGCATTAACTTTTTTTCTTTCTAAAAGGTTAACCAAACACGAAAAGGACTAGAGTACTTGTGGTAAAATTTCATGGTGGATAAGTATTTTAAGTGGGCTATCCCAAGTCAAGTATTATAACTTTCTTTCTAGAGTTTTGTATTAGTTTTATATTCATGGTACTTCAAAGGAACTTTCTTACTAAATGGTAAATTGCTCTTGAAGTTCTACTTTGTAGAGATTGTTTTTGCTTCAGCTTTCTCACAGCAAAATTCTTGCCACTAACCATAATAACTACTTCTTTGAAAGAAAAGATTAGTTAGTCCACCGAGTGGGTGTAACCCAATATAAAGAGAAGATAGAGAATTTACAATATCCGAGAGGCAAAATTCAAAGAGATCCAAAATATCAACACCATCAAGGATAGGTGCACTTTAAGAAAAATATGGAGAATTCTAAACCAGCGAATCTAATCTCATGAAAAGGAATGAATAGTTGTCAAAAGCTCTACTGTTTCGTTCTTCCAAATAGCCCCAAAAAATAGAAAGAAGAATGACATAGATAATTGACTTCTAGATGCCTCTTAGACTTATGAGGAGCAATGCCACTCCTTGTCCATAACTCATCCTTAACAAGAGAGCCAGTCACCCAATTGAGATTGAGAAGAGAACTGCTGAATGCCATAATTTTTTAGTCTCAGGATATCAAAGAAGATGATTAGTGGAGTCCTCCTCTCCAAGCAGCCTCCAAAGTGAAAAAGGCAATGCAGAGCGAGGCTTTGGTTTTCCACACCTATGTTCCACTGTTAACACTTCTTTGTTCTGTTCTATAAAATTGATCTGAAAAAAAAAAGAATGTTTCAAAAAGAAATTTCTGGAAACAGTATAAATATGTATATGTTCAATGTGTGTGTGTGTGTGTGTAGTTTCAGTTTTTTTTTTTCTTATGACACTTAATGGGCCAATAGGTTATACAGCTGGAGGTGCTTCTCTTTTCATGTTTATGTATGATGCATGCACTAACTTCACCAACTAAAGATTTTTTGGTGCAACTTGTGCTTGTGTTGTGTGTGATAAAAGTGCTGTTAGAATAACTTTTCTGTAAACATAATTTCAGTAAGAAGTTGCATTATATTTGGTGAAAATAGTTGTAAAAAATACTGCAATCTTGAAAAACCGAAGCTGTTGTATTTGTTGGAAATGGTTGTAGATATTGAAATGAGCAAAAAGAGTGGGGTCATTTTTTGTTTCTGAATAAAAAATACGGTAAAAATATGTCTTATAAATACAAAATGTCACATATTAATATTAAAATATTAAATTTTTTGTTTACATTTCAAAATCAAATTACCAAATAGTAATAAAATTTTAATATTTTAATAAAATCAAAATTGTCAAATATAAAAAAATTAATATTTTAAAAAATCAAATACATTTTGTTAGATTTATTTTTTATTATTGTTTTAATGAAAAATATAAGATGTATATTAAGTAATGGCATCAAGGGGATGCTACCCATGTATAAAAATTTACATGTCAACATTTTATTAGGTCTATGTGAGGATAGTTTTGAAAAACTATATGTAATTTTTTCTAAAAGCAGAAGCAGTTGTTGAAAAGCGTGTAGAACTTACTTTTGTGTTCATATATGTTAAAGAATATTTTAACTTTCGTTTTGGCTAAAACTACTTTCAATTTTTTGTTTGGCTGCAAAGTACTCTCAAAAGCTACAGCGAAACATTCCCTAAGCTAGCTGGCATGCGTCTTTTTTATTTTCTAATAGCATATGGATTTTGAAAATACAGACCAGACTTGCATTTGTGCTTGAACTTGTAGGGAAGTTTCTAATTTTATTGTACTTTTGACCAGTTAAAGAGTTCAGAGAAAAAAGATAAGGCATAAGCATGTGGGGGAGTAAGTTTACATCCAATTACATTTAAGTCAATTAACCTTATATTTTTCTCCGTGCTTATCTTGTTTATGAGGTTAATTGACTAATCTGTTGCATAGTTTTAGTAGTATCACTTACTGAATGGGTTTTCCCCTGTATAATTTCGCTAGTTGTGAATTGTCTCCCTTCAATTTAATTTTGGTGTATGTCATATCTTTTCCTTTTTGCCAGTTTATAGAATTATGCATACGCATGTCTTTTCAAATGAGGATGCTAGTTGCTTGTTCTCTTATTGATTCTATGCATTTAGGTTGGAACACTAAGGGAGGTGTCAAATAAGGTTCACAATGCCGAATTAAAATTGTTCTTGGAGGTTGAGCTAGGACTGGTAAGCTTCTGCAAATTTAAGCATCCATTCAATGCTGATGGTTCTTTTTTTTTTTTTTATAATTCTTATCAAACTTGGGTGATATTTTCAGGATTTACGACCTATTGCTCTACCTGATAAGACAAAGGAAGATATTTTACTTTTCTTTAAGCTTTATGATCCTGAGAAAGCAGAGCTGCGGTAGTTACTTTATTTTTTGTTCTGTCATTTTCAAATCATGTATAAATTCCTTTGCAGCGTCATGTCTTGGTTACTGATTATCTTTTTATTTTATCAGTTATGCTGGAAGACTTTTTGTAAAAAGTATGGGTAAGCCAATAGAATACTTGTCAAAATTAAATGAAATGGCGGGCTACGCTCCTGATGAAGAGATCGAACTATATGAGGTTTGTTTCTGGTGATATATTTTCAGTTGACTTATTTTTACTAGGAGTTGGTCATTCATTGAGGCCATCCTCGCTGAACGAATAACTGAAAATGGTTGAGAGACGAACATTTTCTTTTGGGTCTGGGTTAGCTCTCTTGTATTAGAGGCCAGGACATATTCCCCTAGGCCAAAGGGCCAAGGTCTTGGGGAACATTTGCTGCTAGGAAATACAAATGGTGTCATTTAATAGTTGTCTACTTATTCTGCTAAATTAATATCTTGTTTGATATCAAACTCAAATTTTATGCATTAGTTAATATCAATTCTGTAATTACTTGCGATAGGTGGTGGTGCTGGGTTGGCCTTGTCATTAGCCTTAACGAAAGTGTCTTCTTTTCTAAATTGTGTTTATTCTTATTTTCTTAACTAGTTTTTTTTAGATAAAAAAACATGTATATTACGTATATGGCACCAAAAGGGGGTGCCGTCCATATACGAAAATATTTACATGTCCATTAGCACATAAACTCTTCCAAAATCATCCCACCCATATACATCATGACCCGAATTAGAGTCCCAAAAGTATGCAATTACCTATCTCTAATTTTGCCAATATCCCTCATTGAATGTTCTATTGTTCCCCTCTTTCCACACAACCCAAAAATAATTAAAGGAATCAGTGAAAAAATTTTAGATCTACTCCCTATCCCACCCGAAGCCGAAAGTTCATTTTTTACCGAACCCCTCATCACCCAATTGATACCCAATAAACTATACACTATATACCAAATACTATAAGTCACCGGGCACCAAAGGAGAAGATGATTGCACGATTCAGCAGCCTCCATGCATAGATAGCAACCATTGACTATAGTATGAGGATGGTGAAAATGCATTCCCGGCTCGCTGCCCAAGCAAAAAAAGTAATTCTCGGCGGCACCTTCACTTGCCAATGGTCTTAATTGGTGATAGTCTCTCTTCCTCAAGGTGATAGTGCATTGTTTATTTGTGGGTAGATTGGTGTTCTTATGGGTGAGGATGGCTCTGGGAACAGGTACAAACAGGTGAGTGGTCTTGGATTCATATGAATGTGTGTCTTCGGTTCTGCTTGAGCATTTTCAGCTAACTTGTGTAGGAGCAAGTTGCTGATCACCATTCCTGCAAAGGTTTTAAGTTCAGTCCAAGGATTTATTTCATGTTTAGCAAAAAAAGTCATTGAGATATTTCTCAGTAGATTAACTTGTCCTATTTAATTGGCATACCTGTATATGTTTCAGGGATTTCCTTTTGTTTTTGTTCTCAGGAAATAAAGTTTGAGCCTAGTGTCATGTGTGAACCAATTGACAAGAAAGGCACCTTTCGATCTAGCCAGGTAAATATCAATTGTTTATGATTACATTTGTATGATTTTGAACTCACCAGTTGTCTGTATTGCAGCTGGAAGATGGAGATATTGTTTGTTTTCAAAAGGCCCTGCCTTTAGAGAGTAGTGAACAATACCCATATCCAGATGTTCCTTCATTTTTGGAATATGTTCATAACCGCCAGGTAGGCGTTTGTTACCTTTTATGTCATTTGAACTATTTTAGGATGCTATTGCGAATAAAAGGATCTCAAAAATCTGTATAGTATGCTGATCTGCCCTTCCCCCAGTTTCTTTTCTTTTTCTTCCTCATCCTCTCTAAAATTTAAATTCATAACTTAATCTGTTGCAAAGGTGCTGTGTTTGTTTACTGGGAGGGGGAGGGAAGATGAAACAAAAGTAACCTTGGAAACAGATTTGGAAGTCCAAGGTTCCCCCACATATAGCTTTTTTTGCATGGGAAGCTAGTTGGGGGAAAATTCTCACTATGGATAAACTAAGGTTAAGGGGTCTGGTTTTGGTCAATGGCTGTCGTCTCTGTCTAAATGATGAGGAATCCTGTAATCACCTGCTGTTATGGTGTCCTACGACATACAGGTTGTGGTGCATGGTTTGTGGGCTTTTGGGGATTAATTGGGTGGTTGCGGGATCCATTGGGAGCGAAATTTGGGCGTGGGATGGTCTGTGTATAGAAAGGAAAATTACTAATTTAATTCCTTTAACTGTATTTTGGGTTATTTGGAAAGAGAGAAATGTTAGAGCTTTTGACGGTAAAGTGAGTGAGATAAATACGTTAAGAAAGTGATGGATTCATTACTTTGGGACCATATTGTTAAGTAATGACATTATTAGTGATATGGATTTTGAAAAGGTCGTTGATACACTAACTCTTTTGTAGAACTTTTGTGCAATCTCCGTTTTTGGTACCTCTTTTTTATACGCTCTATACTTTTTATCTAAAAAAAAATGATTGGGCTTCATCCCCTTGGTGCGCTCCAGTATATTATTTTTATATTCTGAAAAATGCAAATGCTATTGAAGATTGAGTACTATTTCTAATCTGGATTATCTGATATTTCTAGGTGGATGTTGGCTAGCAAATTTTTGATTACTGTTATTTCTTGGCTGGGTCTACCCTTGTGGTTTCTTATATTTTAGAAGTGTGATGAAGAGAACTTTGAAGTGAAAAAGAAATTGATTTCTTTGAGAGGAAAAAAGAAGTATTACACAAATAAATGGCAAAGAGGATGCTGCCCATGTAGAAAGGAATTTACAAGGATGAGACAAAATATCAAAAAGTGTTCTATTTGAAAAAGAAATGAAAAAGTGAAAGGAAGAAACTATATCTCTTTCTTTCTTCTGGATGTTTAAGCGAAAACTATGGATGTGTTTGAGGAAACGATTTATTTTTGTGGAAATTGGTATGGAAATATAATAGTTCTTATACTTAGTTCAAGCATGAGAACATGAAACTATTTGACCTCACAAGGATAAGAGAGAAACATCAATGCTTGTTTTGATTTATTGCTAAGGTGATGTGTGTTTATTATTATTATTTTTTTTGGGGGGGTGCGGGAGGGGTGTCAGTAGTAGGAAAGACTAAATAAATATAAACCTTATTGACTTTCTAAATATTTCGATAGTTTAAAAATTTTTCCCTTTCGTAATTGGGATACAAAGTGGAAAACTGAAAGACAAAACCATATTTCTTTCTTTCTTTTTGACATCTAAGCAAAAACTATGGGTATCTTGGAACAAATAAATTTTTGTGTGGAATTCATTCAGAAAAATTATAGATCTTTCCAGCACGAAAGCATGAAAATCAGTTCCAAGTGAATTCTAAGTGAAATTGGATTCTTTGTGGAATTCATTCGGAAAAATTATAGATCTTTCCAGCACGAAAGCATGAAAATCAGTTCCAAGTGAATTCTAAGTGAAATTGGATTCTTACATTTCTGATTCTATCAAAATTGCAAGAATTTGAAAATTAAAATATGATGGCTTAAAAGAGAAGTTGGTTCATTTGTTTGGTTGCTATCTTGACAAAGCCATCCAAAAAATGACTTTATAGAACAAAGACTTCCAATTGAATTTTGAAGAAAGAATTCATTTGTTGCAAAGATACCTTAAAGCAACAATGTATAAGTTAGTGAGATAAGGTGAAAAAGAGTTGATACCCGCCCGAGGATTGGGGAGAACAAGAACTTGAAACGTGTAAGCTTCAGTGATAACCTTTTTGTTTGTGCTGAGGATGCTGGAGTAGTTGACACATTGTGGCCTTAACAAGCTTCATTTTACCTTTAACTTAATTGGTGTAAAAGTTATTGAGGATGCCTTGTTATGCATGTGCGTAAACTAATGAAAAATATACAGGAAACACAATGTCTGTTCAAATAACACTATAATGAACCTCTCTAATGAACCTCTCTGTTTCATTCCACAGAGCCAAACACCTACGGAAGTGTGTTTAGGCTGTCCATAAATTTCCCAGTTTCTAATTTATAAGAATCATACAGAATGAGACTGATGTATGCTGTTTGTTTTCTTGGACTTGTAGTTACGTACTTCCAAAACCATGCTTGTATGTAACTGTTTTTGCTATGTTCCTAAACTGCTAAACTTGGCACAATTTTATGTTTCTTAGGTTGTTCGTTTCCGGTCTCTTGAGAAGCCAAAGGAAGAAGATTTCTCTCTGGAAATGTATGTTAAAAGTTTCTTTCCTCTATATTCATATCCACTTCTTGAAGTTTTGATATCCTATCAATTAATTGTTGCATGTTTTTTCTTTGACAATATGATTGTTGATTACATCACGTTTCTTCTATTTGTTTTATGGTGTCAAGGTCAAAGCTCTATACTTATGACGACGTTGTTGAAAGAGTAGCTGAGAAACTTGGCTTGGATGATCCTTCCAAAATCCGGCTCACCTCTCACAATTGCTACTCTCAGCAGCCAAAACCTCAGCCTATTAAGTATCGAGGAGTTGAACATTTGTCGGACATGCTAGTCCATTATAATCAGGTAGTACTCGTATGCCCTAATTGGCTTGTAATTGATGCCTAAGAGAAAGAGGAGGCAAAAGACTAGTCTAACCCTGAATAATCCATGGCTACAGATTTCAGATATATTGTACTATGAAGTACTAGACATTCCTCTACCAGAATTACAAGGCTTGAAAACCCTGAAAATTGCATTTCATCATGCTCTTAAAGATGAGGTGAGTATGCCAGTGGAATTTAGTTATTTATTGTCAATACATAGCTTCTAGCCTAATTTTTTAGTCCATTGAATTCCAGGTGGTTATCCATACCATTAGGCTACCAAAGCAGAGTACTGTTGGGGATGTGCTAACCGATCTTAAGACAAAGGTAATTGATTGATATATATTTGTTTTCCTGGTTTCTCTTACGGATTGGTATAAATCTGACTGAATTGCTGACCCCTTTTTTCTGTGCCTTTTTCGCTTTTGATTTTTCCATTATTGGAACAGGTCGAGCTGTCTGACCCTAATGCTGAGCTTAGGTTGCTTGAAGTTTTCTATCACAAGATCTACAAGGTGTGAATTTATCTTGCCCGGCCTTTAATACGTATGACTAATAAGTACATATTGTATTCTGTAGAATAGCTATATTCTGACAAGCCTCCATCTACCATACTTCTGACAGTTGTATGTTCACTCATCAAGTTAATTTGGATTACAGTGCACTAGTCATCCCAGAGTGCAGAACAGCTGTCTATAATTCCTTTATTTGGGTTTCACATGTATAGGCCTAATATTTGGGTTTCACATGTATGCAGATTTTTCCGCTTGGTGAAAAGATTGAGAACATAAATGACCAGTACTGGACCCTGAGAGCAGAAGAGGTAACTCTCTCTCTCTCTCTCTCTCTCTCTCTCTCTCTCTCAAGTACATGCACGCATACTCTTTTGGGTATGTGAATATCATTTGGTATTTTCATGATATGGATAATAGTTTTGGAAATTTTTAACTATTCTGTTCTTTACTTTATTCTAGATGAAAACTTGTTGATGTGAAACTCTGTCTAGTGCTCCTCTATTTCGCTATTCACTTTTGCAGATTCCAGAAGAGGAAAAAAATCTGGGCCCAAATGACCGCCTGGTACATGTATACCACTTTACTAAAGACACAGCTCAGAATCAGATGGTAACTATACTTTCAATGTATTAGTAGTGTTTATTTATTTTGGCAAACTATATTTTGATCCCTGAAGTTCTATTGTATTATGTACACTTTTTAAAAACTGAAAAGAATTCCTATTTTGCAAACTATTATACACTTTGCTCCACTAATCTATTCTATGAAAGAAATTGATAGAAAAATATGTCTAAAATGTGAGGATTAAATGACCAGTAGCATGAAATACAATAAAAAATGAATTCAGCCCGAAAAATACAAATGAGGTAACAAGTTTTTCTTTTAGACAAATCTGGAAAATTACAGCTCCCCCTAGGATGACTTTCTTTGTTTGGAAAGTCTTAAGAGGAAGTATTTTGACCATGGATATCTTAAAGAGGCAGGACAACATTCTTGTTAACCGATGTTACTTATGCAAGACTGATGAGGAAACATGTGACCACATTTTATTATTTTGCTCGGTTACACACAGCTTATGGATGTCGGTTTTTGGGATGATGGGGGTGAGTTGGGTAATGGCGAGTAATGTTAGTAAAGAATTGTGGGCATGGGCAGGTTTTTGTAAAAAGAAAAAAACATTTATTTTTTATTCCACTTACCATTTTTTGGGTTATGTGGAAAGAAAGTAATGTTAGAGTTTTTGAGGGTATTGAAACAGACTTTGTAAATATTAAAAATAGATGGTTAAGTTCTTTTGGTTCAATTTTACTTAGTCATGACATATTACATTGGGAAGATTTGGGGTGTGTTATCAACCACTTAATTTGATATGTAGTTTCTATGTAATTGAGTAGTACTCCCTTAGTACATTTGTGAATAATAATACTTTCATCTTTTATTTAAAAAAAAATTCTTTTTTTTTTTTAATGATCAAATATCTTCTTTAGGTGTTTTTAAGTGATAGGTGCAAACATTTTAAATATTAATAGTATATGTTGAGTGATGGACAAATTAATAAAATCTATAGTAGAAGGGGACAAAGTGTATAGTAGTTTGTAAACTGAATGTTTTCTGTTCAGTTTAGAAAGTGAACTGGGGTGGGGGATGGGCAAAATGTAATTTGCCTTTATTTAGTTTTTGAAATGAGGAGAATGATGGTGATCGTTGTTTAATTTTTTCCTCTACCTTTTGACATCTTTTGTTTTCTCCAGCAAATTTTGAATTTTGGGGAGCCTTTTTTCCTGGTGATACACGAAGGTGAAAATTTGGCCAATATAAAAGTGCGGATACAGAAAAAATTGCAGGTGCCTGATGAGGAATTTGCCAAGGTAAGATCTTCTCCTTCATTTTCAGGCTTCTTGTGCCACTTTACTATTTTGTCTCCTTGGTTAAATGCGCATTTTGTTTGTTGTTTTTATCTGAATTAAAAATATTTTGAAATGCTATTTGTATCTGTGACCTATAACCCAGTGGAAATTCGCATTCCTCTCACTTGGTCGACCAGAGTATCTTCAGGACTCTGACATTTTGTCAAGTCGCTTTCAGGTTCGTTCGTTCTCTTCTTTTTCTTAAAACTTTGCTTAATCTTTGCTTAAGATTATGTTGCAATTTGATGGCGGGTTGCGTTCATATGCCTTCAGAGAAGAGATGTTTATGGTGCTTGGGAGCAGTATCTTGGATTGGAGCATTCTGACAGTACTCCGAAGAGAGCTTATGCAGCTAATCAGGTAAGAAGTCATTTCACTTAGCAAATGATGTGATATTACAACCCTAGTATCATGATTAATGACATAGGGAGAGCAAGAATTTGTCGCGTCAATATGTAGTCTGGCAATATCTGTTGTGTTGGAGTTTACATAGTTAAGTCCCATTTTTTCAGAGAAAGCATCTTGTTCTTGGTTGCTGGCTTCATGTGGATATATAATGTTTTAATGCAGAATCGGCACACTTTTGAGAAGCCGGTCAAAATCTACAACTAGAAAGCACATCAGGCAAAATGCATGAACTTGGCACCATTTATTTTGAACTGGAGAGAAAAGCAGAGGAAGTGACGCTGTTAACCGAGTGGTTAAAAACGGTGACATGTTGTCCAGCAGTTTTTGGCTGATTTCGGCTGTGTAACATTTCACTTGTGTGGGAAGCATGTATCTGCAAACGTCGATCACTACCCCTTTTGAGCTTTTATACTTCCGTTTTTTAGTGGAGGGTTCTTCTTCTTCTTCAAATGATAGGTCCCCCTTGTAATTTAGCAGTACATAAATGAGATTTTGGATTAGCGAATGTATACAGGTATAGTTACCCGAATCTTGGTCAATTTTTTCTCCTTGGCTTCTGTTTTCGTTCTTGGCGGTGCGTATAGCAGAACGGAGAGCTGTAATGTTCGATCAGGCCCCCCCTCCCCGTTGTAGCTTTTTCTTCTGTTATTAACTCACCGTGGAAGAAGTTGTCCGATTGAATTGTCAGGAAGTTGTGACTCTTGTTTGAGGCTCAGCGGGAGTGGTGGCTCTTTTATTTTGGGGGGGCTTTATTGCAAAAGAAATTTGATCATTTTTGATACATTCTTTACTTTTTATATGCTTTGAGATGATGAAATCTAGAATTTTTTTAAAATGATTTTGCTCTGCAGAACTTACAGTACTCTCCAGGGTTTTCACTCTATATGTAATGCTTTTATAAATATACAAGATTAGTTTCAATAATATTAGTGTATGTAATTGTACCACACTATTTAAAATTATTATTTAAACTAGTCTTGCATCTCATTTAACACTTCATCCTTTTCTTAGTTCTAAATTTAATATTATTATAATTATGCAAGGCTAGTTTCAATAATTTTAGTGTATGTAGTGGTTATAAAAATAATTTTAGTGCATTGATTGCAAATTATTTATTATAAATTATTAAATTAGTACTTATTATATTTTAATTTTTAATAATTTTTTTACTATAATTTGTGGTTGATATTGTTTATTTATTTTACACATTCAATTTTTTTTTAATATATTTTTTAAGGTAGAAAATTGAAATGGTTAATTAATAAATTAATAATAAAATAAAGAATATGTTTAATAATATTATTAATTTATTAGTATACTAGTTTAATAGTTTATTCTTTTTGAGAATTTTTTTAAAATGTTCAAATATTTAATTAAATTAATTTTTATTTTTAAAAATATAATTAACTATTTAAAATAAATAAATAAATAAATATTATAATCAAATTTTTTAATAAGAGTGCGATCGTGAGGAAGGGTAAAATGGTCAATTCACGACGTTCTCTCTCTCTCTCTCTCACCAGTCAATTGTCCTTAGTTAAAACAGAAAGTGAACTCCACAGATTCATTCATTCACTTCTCTATCCATGGCCACTCTCTCCTTCTCCCTTCTCCATCCTCTCTCCTCTCCACCTCCTCCTCCTTCTTCAACTTCCTCAGCCATTCATCTTCTTCCTCAACTCTCTCTCGCCAAACCGGACGTCTCTGCTTTTCTCCGTTTTCACAAACCGAATCGGAGGAATCTGCTTTACCACAACTCCGACAGGTTCGTTCTCCATCCAATTTTCTTGCTCGCTGGCTTCGACAGGCCTTTGGATACTCAAACCTTCCTTGTCACTATCAGTGTCTTGGTCGCCATTGCGCTCTCTCTCTTCCTCGGCCTCAAGGTAGTTTTCCTCTCTTTCGCTTTTTCCGTCTGTGTTCTGCATTTGGTTGTGTGTCTTCGGATTCTGATGTGGATTAGGTTATTATGTGTGTGTGTGTGTGTGTTTGTGGATTTTGCAGGGAGATCCTCTTCCTTGTGAGAGGTGTGGTGGAAATGGTACTTTTTTTTCTTCGCTTGTTCTTTTTAATTCAATCGTTTCAGGACATTTATCTAGAGTAATGGAGAAAACTGATCAGTTTCTGAAGGCAAGCTTATAATGATGATGTTCCATTTGAGCGAACAGCTCTACTGTATCTAGCTAATTTCCATGATTGTTTTTCGTATTAACCTTAATTTTCAGAACTACAAATAATTTTGATGTTTGAGTAAGGTGGTTTAGACCTAAAAATTATATACTAATTGTGTATACCAAGACTACCTTAAGTGCAGTTAATTAGATATGAAATGAAAATTGAATTAACGGCTGGGTGATGTCAATGCAGCATCCATTATGTTTCTCTTAGAGCCCTAATCCGCCATATTATGACCACGCTGGCTTAGGTACGATAATAGATGTATGTTTGAGCTTTCAAAATTCTCCTTCAGATTTTTTTTAGTGGTTTCTACAAGTTGATTAGAGGTTTCTTTCTTCATTATTATATGTTGAATATGGAAATGAAAATCCTTGCATTCACCATTGCGGCTTGCTGAGAGCAAAGTATTGAGACAACGGGTAGGATTTACCCAAAGCTCGATGGGAGCTCATAGCCTCATCTCTAACACCATGATATGAGTTAGTTGGATATCTGATTTTCCTATAAATTTAAATTTCTGGAAACTAGCTAATCATCAGTATCCATGGCATTAGTATATTTTCATTCTTGATGAAAACATTCCAGAAATTCTTGGCTCCAAACAGAGACATAAGAAATACAAATCAACAAATAATGAAACAGGCCTACTCTGTTGTTAGTTGTGTTCTTGATGGATTTTCAGACATTGAAAAACATAAAAGGAAGAAAGAAGAAGATGATGATAAGGAAACTCATAACAGAGAAAGCATTTTACTACAAAAGCAGGGAGCAGGGTGAACTAATACAAGATCTGAAAGTAACCTTTACAAAATCGTAATCCAAAATTTAATGGCAACCATACATATAAAAATAAAATATAAAACACAAAACAGAGTATCTAGAAATATCTTAACAGCTTCAACAGTACCTGTTAGGGGCTAGTGGTTTCTGTGTGATGCTGTCTGGGCTCTATCACACAAGGAATGGCTCCTTAACATATTCTCTCTCTTTTTTTTTCTTATCATTTTTCTTGTGTCTGTAGTCTTCAAACATTAATTAAATCCAACTTGAGATCTTTTTTGCACATAGCTGCAGATGAATTCAGTTAAACATATTTTGAAAAGAATGCACCTTTATTTTTTCTCCTATTTCACGTTGTGATTGTTTCCTGATCAGAGAATTTGGTGGTCCATTCTGTTGCTTGTTTGTTGTTACATGTAGTTAGTTAGTATCAATGGGAGCTTTCTCTAGCTGCTATCATAAGGGGAAAAGCCATTAAATGTACTCTTTTTCATGAATAGGTGGCACAAAATGTGTATTTTGTGAAAACGGTAAGATGATGCAGGAAACACGAATGGTTGACTGTAAAGTATGCAAGGGTGCAGGTAATTGTTACTTGATCTCTAAATCCTATTGAAACAGTCACCTTGACAAGGATTCTATAGTTTATTTATACTCATTGACTTTTATTTAGACTTAGCAATCATTTTATTCCACCTCCCACATCCTGATCCATTTGTGGGCATCAGAAGTTTATTTTATAGATTATCCAGATTATCAAGTTTTAAAGATTCTTTCCCTGATTATTGGAATGGCCAATATTACATGGGGTTTTAATTGGAACTCGATGTTACTTCTGCTCACTGATAACTATTTTAAGTTTGCAAGTCTGCTTCAACTGATGAATCAGTCCAGTGCCCTTTTTGTTTTTACGAACACATATTCGCATATAAAAGTAATGGTATCTTAATAGGTCTGATATTCTGCAAGAAGTGTGGAGGTTCTGGATATTCCAGGCGTCTGTGAGCTCTACTCTGCTCTCATCAATGGTATACATGCTAGATCTGTAAGACAATTTTCTTAAGCATAAAATTTTCTGTTCACATCATTCTTATTTTCCCTCTCCCCCTCCCCCTCCCCTTCATTCCCCTTCCCACCCAATTTTCCCTCCCTGATTCAGAGCACGGACGTAGAAGTGATGAAAACTGTATATTCTATAATATAAATTTCATCTTCTTGGATAATTAAAGTCCGTTTTCTCAGCGGCATCCCCTGCTGGCTAAATGTAATTCTGGAAAGCTTGAGTTTTTTTTTTTTTTTTGGGAATTAAATAGTATTTCGAATCTATTTAATTCGCAGCCGTTTATGCTTTAAGTCTTCTATCGTAGTTGCAGTTGATTTTGTGTGAATGAAATTCCCATGATTTTAGGGGGTTCACCTTCACCTGTTCCATTCATCTCAGCAGGGTAGCTGCATCCAAGTCACCCTAGATTATGGAGTGAATTATTTGTAAGTCTCTCTCTCTCTCTCTGATATCATTGTTTAAAACCTTTCAGAACATTTCTTGTAACTGCAATGATGATTGAAAGTTGTGTCCGTGGAAGGAGAAAATTTTATTATAATTTATAAAGAATACTGTTACTGTAATTCATAAAAAGTAGGTGTAAATAATACTACTTCAACAATTTTATTATAATTTTAGAAACTTTTTGTTTCTTTAAATATATGATATTTAAGTGTTTACATATTAATATAATTTAATAAATTTTGTTTGTATTTTTACGGAAATATTTTTTTTTTTATAAAAGTTTTTTGTTAATTTATGTACTCTGTTTGTATCGTATAAATGATAATCAATTAATATATGATATCTAAAGACGTGAGAAAATCATGTTTGTTTTAACTTTTAACCAGATGAGATTATAGCAAACAGTATTCGACTGATAAATTTAACAATTTTAAAACTACTGAATTAATGGTATGCGATGTAAAAATATTTTTTTTTCGTAATATTTTTATAAAATATATTTAATTTTAATTATATTTTTAAATAAAATATTTTAATGTGATAATATAAATAATAATAATTTATTTTATTAATTATAAAAATTTAATTTAATTATATAATTTATTTTTTTATTATTATAATAGATGAAAATAAATTAATAATTTAAATGAAAATACAATAATAACAAATATTATCTTAATAAATAATTATTATTAAATACAAAAACATTCAAATATATAAAGATTTTGTCATTTTTATTTTGTATTATTAATATGTAATTATTGTTTTTATCATACATTAATTATTCATCCTTAAAATTTATTCGAATATATAGTTATTTCACAATATGTTGTGAAGCAAATGTAAATACAAATTATAAAATTACAATTTTTCTCATTGAGTTTTATTATTTTGAGAAAGAGATTATATTCATATGGGAGTTATATATATATATATATGTATACATTATTTGTATTTGAAAATAATTAACTTTTACTTGTCTTAAATAGTAATTAAAAATTTTAAAATTTTAAAATTTTTTAATTTTTAAATATTTAGAGATTCATGAAATTAAATGCTAATTGATAATTTGATTGATCAACAATTTTATTCAAAACACTATATATATATATATCTATATATTTTGCTGAAATTCTTTATGGGTAAGTTATAAAAAAAAAATAGAATCACAAAAGTTCTATATTAATTATATATAAATCTCAAAAATTATTTATAATTTATTTAAAGAATTATCAATTAATTTATATATGCAAAAAAAAAAAAGACAAAATTTAGACCTATTTATATATAACTTTTATTTAATTTCACAGAGCGAATCGATGGAGAAGGTTAAAGAGCAGGCGAATGGAGTTTGCTCTCAGCAACCTTTCGTCTTCTCCTCCTGTCATATCCGCAAATGCACAAAACTACACACCATTAACCCCATTATAACATATTCCAAGCTCCACGTCAATGGCCGACTCCACCTTAACTCTTCCCTTGTTCGTTTCCTCTCCAATTTCTTCTCTTTTCTCCTTATATTACAGCCCCCATGTTTTTGTCTCGCCGGATCGTATCCATCACACAAATTACAGACATGTCTAACACCACAGGTGCTGCTCCTTTTTACGAAGTCGATGAATGCCGTGGAGTCCTCCGCGTTTACAGCGACGGCTCCGTTTGGCGGTCCACGAAACCAAGTTTCAATATTCCTGTTCATGACGACGGCTCTGTTTTATGGAAAGATGTGTTGTTTGATCCTTTACATAACCTCGAGCTCAGGCTTTACAAGCCGGCTTCACTTCCCTCTTCCGCCAAGCTTCCTATCTTCTTTTACATCCATGGCGGTGGCTTTTGTATTGGCTCCCGTACTTGGCCTAATTGTCAAAACTATTGCCTCCGACTGGCGTCGGAACTT